GTATTTTTTGATATTGACATTCCTTATTCTATCAAACGCATCAAACTAGGTCTCAATGCGTGTTAGTCTTTTTGCTTTCTTTCGTGAGTTCAATGGCCCAGCCCAGGCTTTTGAGACGCACAGTATGAAGGATGTAGTTGAAAGGGTGCCGCTATACAATGGCTGCTCCTCACGCTTCCTTGAGGTTTGGTGCAGGGGGCTGGGGAATGATGGCATGATGAGGCAAGATGACGAAACCCATGGTGAGTTGACAGGCACTGGCGCCAATGGTACATTCTCGGTTGGTGGAAGCTGGCACTGACATCGTTGTGGAGGGCGAAGTGGGTGACATGGCAAGCAAGGAATGCGGGATAAGACAACTAGCATATTGGCGGTCTGCAGTTGCAACATGCAACATGCAGAATCTCAGATTGTCAGTGCTGGGTGCCCAGGTGACTGCATGTACATCCTGAGCCGTGGAGATGCTGAACTCTTCAAGGGTGATGAGATGGTAGAAAAAACTGAGGAGTGTCATTGAGTCAGTTGAGTTATGCTTCTCGAAGGTTTGCAGGTTTTCTTTCCTACAGTTGAACATGTTTGAGCCTCGGAATGCCACAAAAATGCAATTTTGAACTACGAAGACCAAAGCAACGACATGCAACGACCAAAACCAAAACATGATCAACCAAAAACAAGGACCAAAACAAAGGCTGATACTGACACCGAGAGTGACTTTGCAAGGACGGTGCTGTCTTCGGCGAGTATTCCTCTATTTCCAAACTTCCAGCGGCCACTTCAGCTGCAAAATGTACGAGAAGGGCTAGACCATACTCAACTGATGACATACCGACAACATCCAGTTTTGGGGGGTGGGCTGGTTGCAAATGGCAGCATTATTTGCAGCTGGTTGCAACTGAGTTGACGACTCGACCTTGGACAGTTCGGGCCACGTCCCTTTGTGATGTCAAGATGCTTCAACGCGATGATGTCTTGCAGGCAAAATGGGTGAGTCGGGCCAGTGGAAAAAATCATCCGGCAGTTGGCTCAACCACATGATCAGCATTTTGCCTTGTAATGTCTTGCATCAGCAGCTAAGAGATGTTTCCTCTCTTCTGTACATCATGATTTCTTGATTTGACCGCCAGGTATTGAGTCACTTCAGAGACGATGCCCCTCGGACATAGCGTCACTATTGCGTCGCCAACGTAGCATGGATCTGCAGGGTCTGTGAGCCAATTCCGCAGCTCCAAGGCAAATCTCCTGAAGAAGCGCATTGAGTTGTACGTTGAAAGCCTGCAAAAGAAGGGTGCGATGCCTGCAAAAAAGGACTCCGGATTTCACAACAAAAAAACAATATATATATATATATACATACACATAATTATAATTACTATATTCTATATATGGATGATTATGATACAATATTCCTTCTATCACCTCATCTCATATAGTTATCTTGGGCAACGATGCTGTCGCCTGCGTGGCACTTCCACTCAACTGGCAGCTGAGCAACTCCAGGAATGGTGGCAGATCAGACGACTCTTGGCCTTCGATGTCATGAGATTACAAGTGGTAGTAGAACTCTTGGAAGCTTCGTCGAGCGTCATATAGCAATCCCAGCCTTTTGTGGGGAACACATTTGAGTAGAATCCGGCACTGCATCTTTGAAGTGGGCTTATCTGCCTTTTGATGCCCTGTCACTCAGGACATTCTGCGGCCTCGAACACTTCGGCATGCAGCGATAAGGTTGGGAATAAGACAGAGGGTACAGCGGGCTTTCGTTCAGCAGTGGGTCGAGCACTCACAGGCTGGGGCGCTTTGGATGGTGTAGGATTTGTCACAAAAAAAGAAGCGACGAGGCTGTTTGCTCTTTTTGCTGGTTCCCAGTTTTCTTTTGGCCCTTGCTAGTGCAGGTTGCCAGAGTTATGACTAGTGGGAAGTCAATTCATCAGCCCGGGTCTGCCAGGCATCAAGTTGGCTCGGCGTTTCTCCGTAGGTGGTGGAGCCCTTCCAACTTCCCAGACTACGACCTTGCCAATATTTGGGGGCCCCGTGCAGCGCCGCCGTATGAGATGCTTGTCCAGAGTTTCGCTACGTGCTTTCCGTGTGCGGTTTCTTCAGTCATTTCGTGGCAACATGTGCCTGAACCCAGGTGACAGCATGCTGGTGGCTAACCTTTCTGAACGGATGGCACAGCGGCAAAGTTCAAAGTCCAGTCCATTTCCTAGAGCAAAAACACAGGTCATGCAATCCTTGGCCATCCTTGGCCTACATTTGACTTTGAGATCGATATCACATTAGAAGCATAATCACTGTTGGTCTGGCAAGAGCCTGCTGATTTCGTGTGGCTTCATGGGGTAGGACCAAGCTAAAGCTCCCAAGGCCAAGTGAGTATGCAATCCATCCAAGAACGAGATGGCCTTGCGCTGAGTTTGGCATGGAACGTCCTGCACTTGAACGCACTGGCAAAGTTGAAAGGGGATCAAAAAGGGTTGAGAAACAGTTATATAAAACAGATTGAAGATTGGTTGTATTGAAGTATACTTCTAACAGAAGCGGCAGAAAGCTGGAGGGAATTCACCCTTGGCCTATGCATCATCTCCACGGTCATGCCAACCCTGAATGTTTGAACTCTCCCTATAACATGATGTGACCTGGCAACGTTTCCCCCAACAATGCAACAGGAATCTCATATTAGTATACTTACACCAATTTAATATTCAATCATATTCATATACAATTATACACACACACACGTGTTTATAATATTATATAAATTATATATATATATTTATAATATTTATAATATATATTATATATATATATTTATTTATTCATTTACTTATTTATTTATTTATTCATTTACTTATCTATCTATCTATCTATCTATCTATCTCTATCTATCTATCTATCTATCTCTATCTATCTATCTATCTATCTATCTCTATCTATCTATCTATCTATCTATCTATGCGCATATGTTATGTGCACGATGTTGAAGTGGCTGCCATTTCGACTCAGGAGCCGATTCAGCAAGCGCCAGTTCGAGTTCCAGCTCAAGCTCCAGTGAAGTGCCACTCCCGATGAGTCCCCAGCGCTCTGAGGAGCCGGTAGACTCGGTAGACTTTCAGGCGATGCATTGAATCAAACAGAGATGGCAAGTAAACCTGGTACCATATATATATATATATATTACACATATATATATTATACATATATATATTTATACATATATATATAATTACACACACACATATATATATATATATCCGATCTACACTTATTTGAGTGTGTATGCGTTTGTATGCCTTTCCTGTCGTTCGTTTCTCCGTCAGAATCACGCCGCAATGATCCGCAATGTAGGCGAGTCACAGCATTCGAATCCTTCAAGCTGAAGCTGAGAACGAGACTGTGGCTGTTGCGCCTGTTTCGGGAGGCATTGCTCCAAGTTGCTCCAAGTTCTTGGCTATTCATTCGAGGGTGCTGACACTGCTTTTCAGTCATACCAAACAGAAGTTTGAGAAAGCACAGCATGAGGCGCGTCCGAGGATTTGCATGGCAGCATGGCCAAGAGTGTCTTGGCAAGGAAAACCAGCCACGTAAAGTGGTAACTTGCTTGAGTGACTTGAGTGCCTGTGAGAACAGAGAGAGATATATAGATAGATAGAGGGAGAGAGAGAGAGAGAGACACACACACACAAACAAGATGAGACCAGCGCACATCTACGCTCACTTTTGACATCTTTTGATTTGTGAAATGGTGCAGGGCTGGTGCACGACCTCTTGGTGCAAGAAGAAGAGGAGGTGAGTCTTCGGACTTTCTCTCCTGTCTCTCCTGCCAGTGCAGGTGCCTGCTTAGAGAAATTCACATTTGAAGAACGGTCGGACTTGATTCTGTCATTGTCAAATTACGACAGCCCCACATGACTGGCATCTTGAAAATGCACAGAGGCACGGTGAAGTTTGAGGATCTGGGAGAGGAGTTGAGCAACAAGGACAAGAAACATCCTTTCAGAATCTTTCAGACCCGTTGAGAGGTACAAGTCGTAGCTTTAATCTGTTGAATGGACCTATCTACTTCGCAGATAAATAGCAATCTACCACGATTCCCCTATATGCCTTTGTGCTCGTAGGTGTTTTACCTTTTTTAGGGGGTCATCAGTCACGTATGGTCTCCACTGTTGTCAAACATGTCTCCATTGTCTCATGCATTAGCAGCAATGCTTCTTCTTCTTCTTCGTCTTCTTCTTCTTCTTCTTCGTTTTCTTTTGATCCAGCAGATGCTGCTGAAAGAGTGAAAGAGTACATAGGTGTGAGGCTACAGATGATAGTTTGTTATATTTTTTGTTATCTACATTTAATTTGTTGCCATGTATTTTCGGAGTGTACGGTTCAGTGTCAGGAGATCTCTACACCTCCCGCCCCTCCAGCACCTTCACTTCCAAGCATTCAGAGATCCTTACATGTGCATGGCAGCTCTGTGGATGATGGGTCTCCAGTGCAGGACCTTCCGAATTGAAGCGGGATAGGTGTCGAAGAACCTTGAGAAAATTGACACCCCACATCAATTGCAGAGTGGCAGTCCAATGTCTCAAGTAGGTGTATCAAGGCAGCAGCAGATGCCAGTGGCCCTTCTTGCCGAAGCAAGGACAGCCCTTGCGGCCCTAGCCTCCCGAACGCAGAAATGGCAACCATCAAGCTTCCAGCAGCTACAAGGAGTGGCGAACCCGGTTCAGCAACAACGGTTTAACAACAGCAAAAACTAACCCAGCATTTGTAGTCGCTGAACCAGGTAACCAGGTGTTTTAACCTGTCGAACCGTAGTTGTCAAACCAGCCGTCGATCATCAGGGCTATTGCGTGCATGTGTGTGTGTGTGCGCGCGCGTGTGTGTGTGTGTAGCATCTGAACAGATGTAAAACTTCTTATTGGTTTTCACTACTTTGCAGGGGGACTGGAGCCGATTTGCCTATCCAGTCCAACGAAGCTATGGCATTTCGGTGGATGAGTGGTCTGATCAACCACTTGTACCTGCAAAACTCAGTTTGAACTGTTGACCAAGCTGTTACACTGCGTTGTTTCGACTCTACACGGTTGCCACAATCTGTATTGCATGCATCAGAACCTTCCTCAGATTTTCGCCGAAACTATATCGCCGACAGTATTATGATTTTTTGATATATTTTCGCCGAGATCATGTCGCCGATGAACCATGGGTCATTTTGGGAAACAATCGCCGAAACATTATTTGGGATTTCAACATGCTGGTCATCACTCTATGGACTCTGGTTTTAACTACGTTTGACAATATCGGATGCCCTACATCGTTTTCGAGAAGTACCTCATGCGGCTCTTTTACTCATTAAATAATTTAGACTGGTTTGCATGTTTCAGGATTCAGTTCCTGCCGGATCATATAATGATCCATTCTTGTCTAGTGTGATTTCCATGGTGGCTCCGACATGGTGCCATGGAGCCATTGGAGGCAACCCTTTTCAGGGTGAGTGTTGACAGACTTGAATTCTGAATTCACACATTTTAACTTAGTAATTCGTTTAAGTAGAGGGCAACAATCAGCCTTGCGGTTTATCAGCCATTTTGTGATTTCCTGCTGCTCCGGCTGTCCCAGGGACCCCAGTGATCTGATCTTTCAAGTGAAGCTGCTTCGAAATACCAGAAACTTCCTTTTATCACTGCAGCTTGCGCATTTGAAGTTCAACATGACATTCACGACAAAAGGCAACAGGCATGTCCTTTTCCTGCAGGTGTGGTCTCTTTGGTTTTTGGTGAGGTGAAACATATTGTGCATCTAATTCGTTGGAACTTGGAAGCTGTTTTATGCCATTGCGGCACGACTTGACCACGGTCCCGGTGCAGGGAATAATCGCACGATTTTGTAGGCAGTTAGGGACTGAATCCTGTATGTGGAGAAAATTTTACAATTGTTCACTTTTGTTTTGATCTACTGAAGCGATGCATCCGTGGACCACTCCGCCAACATCATGGCCTGTTCCACCGCAGCCTACGAACGCACCTTCGACGTGGCCGCAATCATCGCAGAACGTACATCTATTTGGACATCCTTCGGCCTTGCATCCTACATGGTCTTCTTCAGCTTCGATCATGCCGTCTACATCATCCCCAACATCGTTGCCGTTTACCTCATTGTCTCCGGCTCCTCATGCAGTACCAGGTCCACAGCTCGTACCCACCATGCCTGCGTCTTTGGCCTCCGAACCCACGATGGCGCACACCGCTCCTTCGACTTTCCCATCTCCTTCGGCACCCACCGCTCCACCTGCCTGGCCTTCTCCTCCGACTTCATCTCCTACGTCGACTCCACCACCTACATCGACTATGCCACCGACACCTTTGCCAAGTTCTCCTTACCCACCCCATCACATTCAACCTCCATTACAAACGGACGCATTGATGGTCTCTCCAGATGCACCTCCTCCACGGCCTCCTGCAGTTAAGGCAGCTCCCAGGCCTCGCTCTGACAAAAGAATGGATCGACCGCGCAGGCCAGCTTCAAAAGCCCCTCCTTCGACTACACCACCAGCACCCACGGCAGCACCTACGTCATCCGTGCCACCCGAACTGGTCGCATTGGGTTCCACTACACAGCAACTTGCGGAATCGGTTCGACTTATTCAAGCTCAGCAACAGGTGATCATGGATACTCAACGAGCCCAAGAACAACGTCAGCTACTTCTCCAACAAGACGGACCTCCACCGAACCCTATTCCACAAATACCACAACCTACCCCCGTGCCACCACTGTCAGCCACACCTCCACCCGCACCGAAAGCCAGACCTACCGAACCTGACGTTCCGGACCTTCGCATTGTTCAAGCCCCAGCCATTGCTCCTCCTCACCAACTACCAGCTCCATCATCCCCAACACGCCGACCAAGATCTAGGACTCCACGACCACGTTCCCATCGACCTTCTGTACATTCTCATCGCCACCGCTATTCTCCTCCACGTGCAGAGCGACCTCGTTCTCCTCTCCCTCGTCATCGATCATCCACGAAACCCGACAAGGGCCGCAGAACCCCATCTCCATACAGACGACGCTCCCCACCACGACGCCGCTCTCCTGTGGTTCCTCGACGTCATCGATCTCGCCCACGTCCACGTTCCGCGACACCACGTCACCGATCCAGAGGCCGTGAAGTCATACTTCGACCAGCTGCGAACCCATCGAATCCAAACTACATCCCCACTCCCGATGCTGATGACACCTGGGGTACATGAACGACAGCCATTACACCGACAACTACCACCACCACACTGCTCGACCCAACTCTCCTGCCGATCCACCGCCACCTGAACCAACTACCAACCCACCAGCCCACACTTCAGCACCACTCGGCGCGGTGTCCTTCCGAGTCCCGGACGGCGACAGTGAAAATTCTGAGGTTACAGATACAATTTCGCTCACCAAGTTTGACACGAATGACATCGACCTCGATGAAATGGTGGCGGCGGCCAATGACCCCCATAGGGTCCGTTGCCTGACTGAGCTTGGCCCCGATCATGTTGTTCCCCTACGCCAATCATTGACCCCGGCTATCTTGCAGCTCTTCAACCAATTTGTGGACGCGATGTTCGAACAGTTGGCTAAACCATACCGCACCGTCAACAACCATCGTATTTACATCAAAGCAAGCCAAGCCACCGTCAGGAATATTGCCAGGGCCTTTGCACAATCCGACTTACTGGACATCGAACTCGCAAGGCAAACACAAGCCTTCTACATCGAGCCAGAGAACTTGCTGACCATCACGGTTCCCACAGGATTGAAGAAGAAACCCATCTACCGTGGCGAACACATGGGCACCTACCTGATCTACCACAAAACGAGTTGGGAATCAGTTGCCAAAATTCTTGCGGAAGACTGCATCCGCCCGGCAACTTGGACAAAAAACGAAGCCGGCATACCGACTCAATACCCATGTTACGGGTTCTTCGGAATGTCCTCTGAGATCGCAGACATCGACAACCTACCCGGCTACGCCGTCAAGATCTGTACCTCTCAGCTCTACAAAATAGGCAAAGGACAAAACCCATCAGGCCTACTGGCCATATGCCGCTCACCCAAATGCATCCGTGCCCTAGCTGGAGGAAATGACCAAATCCAACGCTTGTGCAACCTTGCGGGCATCGCCAAGGGCAAAGACAATGCAACGGCTATGAACTCAAGCGCCGCATCTATATGCTACGTTGCCTCCACTCACACGGTTTTCCCGGGCTTGATCACACACCAGACTGCGGAGACCAATGCACCTTCGGAACCTCCTGATGATTCTGCACGTCCAGTACGACCTGACCCTTCTGCCGACGCCCCAGAACCTTCGGAGCCGCCCCCAGACGACTCTCGCAACACACCGAGCCACCGCGAGACCGCTGCCTCTGGCTCTCGGGACTATGCTCGCCGATCTTGGCACGACAATGCTTCTTGGGACAATTCCACCTACAGCCACCGAGATCGCCGATCCTCATACCAGGAAGACCACTCTCGTGACCAGCACCATGAAGGCCGACCTCGTTCTCGACATTCGACCCACTACTCTCGATCTCGTTGGTGAACTATTTACCCTTGAGAAGCACCGGAACTAGTATCGACTATTCTATGTCAGCGATACAGTGAGCCTAGTGGCCCCGCCCGATCATTTTGGAGTAACAATGCTTCTCCCGACATTCGGTATTGCCGCCACTTCTTCCTCAAAAGGTTTGTGAATCGCTGCTTGCTCATATTGTTGATCCTTTCGCCCGATTCGTTTTCACTTTCCGTTTCACACAATGGGACCACGTATTATGCTTCACACTTTTTCAATTTCACATTACCCTTGTCTCACCTCGACATTTTCCGCAGCTTTCATTCGGCAGTTCGAGCGCATTTTGACCTATTATTTCGTGACCCTCTCTACATCATGGCGTCCCAGGACCTGATCTCCCAATACAGCGCGGATATGAATGGAATTCCTCCTTCCCAGCCGGATCGCTCGCGCACACCACCACGTCATCAACATGGATGGCACCAAGCAGTACCGGCGTTCCGTGGCCCGATGCATTATGCCATGACGACCCATCGACCCTTGTGGAACCCATCCGGAATACCGCCTCCGCCACCTACGTCTCCATCGTTCCCAACACGCCCACCATGGACTTCACCTACGGCACCTTTCCCGCCCACGCCGCCTCCGAGCTCACAGACACCTCCCAACAACGCCAACTTTGCACCTCAACGTCACCCTTTTACACCGAGATCACCGAGACCTATGTCATCCCCAGGAGCAAGTTCCTCTGTCAACGAAGGATATACATGCAGACCAATTGAAATCCCACCAGTGGAGAACTGGAAACCGGATGTCGACTTCCACGACTCCAACAAAATCAATGGTTTGGACTTCCCTTCCAGAATCCGACAGAGCAGATTTTCAAGCTACAAGGACATTGAAGGGATGGATCCTTTACAAGTCCCACTCTGGAAGTTCTTGTACCAGGGCTTACACAATACTTGGCTTCGTCGAGTGGCATACGGAAGAGAAACCTTCGTCCTTCCTTTTGACAACATAGGCACTACAGTATTTGTGGCCGAATTGGTATCCCAACTACGCACCCGCAATGTAGACTTGGACAAACTTGCTACATTTCGAGCTCGTTCAGCAGGCCAATGTATCAACCAGAAGGAGGCCACCCAAAACATGGCCAAAGATGCTGCTCAACTTCTCCAATCTTGGCT